TTACTTACTGATCGCTGGGCAAATGTAGTTGTATGGTGCTACGCAGCAGTAAGGCTGCAAACGTTACTGCATGTCTAAATGAGGTAAGTTGTATGTTTGCTCGTTTGCATCCTCTCTTAACGAATTAATGGCATTTGCGCTGAGTAAAGTTGCGTTCATACTCCGTCATGACGCGCGTCGTCGCACTGCCGTCGCAACATCTCTCCAGCAGCCATTGATGGATATTGATCGGCACTGACCGGTGCTGTTTCGAGGGTGTATAGAATAATGGACAAGTATCAGACCGTTCACTGACACTTCTGTTTTCCTATATTCTGAAATTCCAGCGCACGCAGTCCGATACTCTCCTATTCCACCACACCCTCTCGAAATAGTAGCGGCCGGAATCGATCGATACCCGTCCACGCCTGCGTTCTCGTCTCTAGCGCCGGGGCGCCGTTGCAATTGCAGCGCGGCGACGCGCGTCATAGCGAGGTCTGAAGGCATCCTTATTTCCTCCTGAAAACACGTCTTTCGCTGCTACAAAGTAAAAACCGCAATAGTAACAATCACACTAAGCCCTCAATCTTATAGTCACCCTGATTTCGACATGGCATCATTCGGCCCTGATGAAGAAAGAGTCTAGCTGTGAGAAGACCGTGTGAAGGCAACAGTTACGATTGCTGGAGGCGGGCGGTTGACATCAGCATCATTTTTGAGAGCTGTGATAGAGCATATTGCCATACCCCATTCAGCCCTTCCACCAATGACGTTGGCAACAACCGCCCGCCCACAGCAATCATGCCTGCTGCTTTCAAGTTCAAATATTTTACATCGGGCCAATATCGTTATCTTGTTTAGACATGCAGCAACGTGACGTAACCGCACGCAGCGTGGCACCCCCTCAACTTTCTTTGCCCGTATCCCTTTCAGTACTTTACGATGTAATGGGGTCATTGTTCAGCTCATCTCGAGCTAGCAACGGCACCGATGGAAAGTTTGTCGGCTTATGCTCGCTTTGTTGCACACGAAACCGTCAAAAGA